ATGCAAAAATATACCTAAAGAAACACTTTAATAACCAATTTAAAAGGTTTACTCAAAAATTGCAAAAAAGCCAGGCTTGAAGGCTAAAGTAGGCCATTTATCAACCTTATATGACCTTATCTCAAAATAAAAAATAAAAGAACAGGGGATGTAGCTCAGTACAAAGGCCCTGGATTTGATCCCAAGCACAACAGTAATTAAGTACTGTATGTATGTATGTATGTATGTATGCATGCATGCATGTGTACTAGACTGTGCTGATGGCTACAAAGCTCTATATACTTACTAAAACATGCAACTGCATATGTGAAGCATACACACTATGTACACCAGTCAGCATGTGTCACTGGCCACATCATTGTGACTATCCAGTTAGTGGACAATATTATGCCAAAGAGGCTCTCTCTCCAGAGATGTGAACAAAAATACATGTAGCCCCAATTGCCACTCGTGGCCCCATCACAAACATGGGGAAAATAACCACAGAATGAAGCTGATATTGTAGAAAACAAAATGGAAGCAAAATAGAAATAGAAAATGGGTGTTATTCTGCCTGTAGTACTATCTTACCCTACCACTGTATTGTCAGACAAATGAACCTCTGAATCCTTTTGGCTGGGCTCAAACCAGGTGAAGTTTCTATTACTTACAAAATGAATTACATATTGGTATGGGGAAGATGTGGCTCATTAACTTGTGTTTCTAGAATGCATTACTTTTAGTCCTTGAACGTAGAATGACAGGTATTGAGGAACTAGTCCCAGTATACATTATTTAATTAATGAGTAATTATCTGCCTGGTAAAAGTTCATGTAAGATCTTAAAAAGAAAACCTCACATGGCTTTATGTGGCCTACATGGAATTTTTCAATCTTTTGACATTTCAAGTGTTATTTCTTTAAATCTAGACTTATTTTTCCTCCAAAAAAAAGCATGAATTCCACTGGGTTCATCGACTATTGCTTTTTTTCTTCCAGTACTGGGAACTGAACCCAGTACCTTTGCACTGAACTACAACCCCAGCCCTTTTTTTCTTATTATTTTGAGACAGGGTCTTGATAAGTTACTAATTTACACTGGGCTTGAACTTTCAATCCTTTTGCCTCAGTCTTCCAAGAGTGCTGGGGTTACCCTAGGTGCCACCATGCCCAACTAACCGCTGCCTCTTTAGGTCCATAAAGATCAGTTCTTACGCAGCCAACATGGACAGAATCTATGTGATCTGTTCATCTCCTACAGGTAGTAAGTGTTGAGCAGGAAATACAATACTGTGAGTTATGAAAAATTATATTATTTTAAACTGTAGTACTTTAATTAAGAATCATATAATTCTTAAATAAAAAATCTTGAAAATGTGGAGATGAAAATCCTATTGTTCAATTACATAGCACTGAATAGCTTTAAATATCTGGTGGAAACCTCCTGAAACATGTCAATGTATTAATTATTCTGGGCCCAAAAGTTAGACAAATTATTTCAATCAAGCATAAAATGATTCTAAATCACAACAAGAAAAATGTACAAGTTGAAGCTTGAAACAACTGGATACAGTAGTGTACCACTAATCATGGTTCATCAGTAAAACAGAGGTTTAAGAGAACTTGGAAGACAGCACTTTACTAAGACCTCTCTAGAGCAGTTCTAGGGCTCTTCCACTTACTATGTGGTCAAGTCTGGAGAGGGAAATCAGTTAATTTTAACACTGCAGACTTACTAATTCAGCAGCTAATACTGAATCAGTGAAAACACATCAGTAGGATATTTCTAGCTGAGCACACTGGCATGAATGTGTAGTCCCCACTACTTGGATGGGCTGAGGCAGGAAGGTGGTATAAAGGAAGGACACACATGAGGATTAAGTGATACTGATAGTACACTAGCTCATCAAGTTAAATGGTAGTTTCACAGGACTTACGTTGTTATACTATTTCATGGCTTTTTTAGTTTTGGCATCCTACTTTTCATAATTTTAAGTTTCAGTTCAATGTGTTAAAAAAATTTAATATCAAACTTTCTGCATATATCTAATGGGGGGGAACCCTGCATATCCTGAAAAATATTTTTTACTTCTAAAGTCTTTACAATTTTTGGCAGCTACTTGAAAGTTAAATTTAAGCTGGGCAGGGTGACACACACCTGTAATCCCAGCACTTGGGAGGCCGAGGCAGAAAGATTGTTATGAGTTCAAGGCCAGCCTGGACTACAAAGTGAGCTAGCATGAACTGCATAGCAAGACCTTGTCTCAAAAAGAACAAACAAAAAAAAGTTAAATTTAAAAAGGAAATAAAATCCGAACCAGCAAGATAGCTCAGCAGACTAAGCACCTGCTTAGACAAGCACAGAGATCAGGGTTCCATCCACAGTACCTCAAGCTGCACCAGCCCCAGCCCCCACCCACCCCCGAGCATGTTGAGCCAGCCACCGAGACTGGGCATGGTGGCACATGTCTATAATCTCAGCACTGGGGAGGCTTAAACAGGAGAATCACTCTAAGTCTAAGCTGCATACTGAGACCTATACCAAATACATTAAAAAAAATAAAATCTAATGTAACGGTTTCACCATTAGCATTTAGTAGTACCAATTGACATTTGTATCTTCACATAGGCAGAGCAATGCCTAAGGTGCGTATACTGAGAGAAGCAAACAACTACACTGACTCATAAGACAAGATATATTCCTGAAAAGACAGTCATCCTAAGGATCAAACTATAGGCAAGCTAATTAATCTATAAAATGGGATGAATGCATTAAAGTAATTGTTCAGAGAAACATTAAATATGTAAAACACCTGGCCCTTGGTAGTCCCTTTATAAAAATCACATCTAACTGTGCATGCACAATCCTGTAATCCCAGCTACTTGGGAGACTGAGGCAGGATGACTGCTAACTGGAGACCTGCTTGGGAACTTAAGTGTGACCCTGAAAAGGGCTAAGATATAGTTCAATGGCACAGCATCCCTGGATTCAATCTCCAGTACAGTGGGAGGAAAAAAAATCACATCTATAAGTGTAGTTTCTTTCTTTGAGTAGAATTAAGACTGAGCCTGACAGGAAATACCTCAGTGCAACAATATTAACACCACCAAGACAAACTAACGCAACAGATTCCCACTATTTCAGTCCCCACCATTCTCTAAAGAATAGCCAAGATCCCATATGTAGGTCACTGAAAGTACTGTGAGGGCCAGTGGAAAGAAAGGAACTGCTATCTAATCCTCTCAGCAACTTTCCTTGCCCTCTCAGACAGGAGAATGGTGGTGAAGAGGACAGTGTCATTAAACAGATTGTCTGCTTCTTGGAACACAGTCACCCACTGCCCTGCAAACAGGCAACTTTGAAGGACTTAACCAATGACCTTAAAATCTCTACCAGGCCTATCCTTCTGGCAGCATACAAGCAAACTTATTACCACAGAATTCAGATTTTCTTTAATGGTAAAAACACAAGTGACTCATGTTTGTTCATCCACCCCCACACAGCATATTCTAAAGAACAGGAGTCTGAATCCTCCTGCAAAAGAATATTGTACTTCCATACACAAACAACTAATTACATGCTAGATCATTGCCAGATTTCTGCTTATCATCCAAGGCACATGACGCTTAAAAAAAGAAAAAAAATGAGAAAGAAAACTTTTTCAGTCTATTCTGAGATAAAGGAATAATTTGTGGTTTATCTCCTTGAGACTCACTGGTTTGAGCTCCACTCACACACGAGCCCCAAAATGTTGATATCTGGCAAAGCTGGATGACAGATACCAGAGATCAGTTTACTGTTTACACATACTGGGCATTTCCCTAGCATAGTTTCTTCAAATGTCTGTACGTGTACAGTTGGTGGGTATTTATATATCAAGCCCTAATACAGTCATCTGGTAGAGAAATGCTGCAATGATTGAAGTTCTCATGCTCCAAAGGGAGTGAATTCCGCCGAGTACTCTGTGACTCCAGAAGCTGCATCGCAATTGACCAGACTAGCAATAAAGGTCTAATAAAGGAAATAATTAACTGCCCTGGAATAAAATAAGTCTAACCTTGAAAACATACAGGCAAAAGGAAAAAGTGCTGAGCAGTTACCGCGAGTGCTGTCATCTTCTAACAAGCTGAGTAGAAGAGGGGCAGGCACAGTATTTTAAGGCCAAACTTCCTGTGATTCTTTAAATCGATGAGCAACTGAAGTTGGAATAAAAAAATCTTTAAATTTTCCATTAAAGATAATAACTTTCTAAGAATGGAAAATAGAAAAATGAAAAGTATCCTCTTCTTAAAATTAACATTCATAGTTATAATAATATAATCAGCAACTTCTAATGACCAAGCATGGTTGAGAACTACTAGTAGATACAAACTTCCACGAGACAAAAATTGTACTGTATCTGCCTCAATGCTGCTTCCCAAGAAGAAGCCAATTTTCACAAGATTACTTTAACCATCATCCTAAACTCATCCAGAAATTTAGCTTGTTAGTTACTCCTGAAAATAACTATTATAATTTTAAAATGAATAATTTGCAACAAATTGACCTTTCGTTAGCACAACGAACAAGAATTTTGTGCTTAAATATTACAGCAAAACAAGGATGGCACAGTCAGAGATTAATATTTCTCAAGTTCAAAATAAGGTCACAAGAACTTATTTAAAATGTTAAAAGAGAAATGCAGGCTTGAACATACCCGCCAAGGGGAAAATAAAAATTAGAAGTAACTCCTCCACTGCAGCCCTCCCCACAGTCAAAATACTTCCTTTCATGACACTAATTATTTTCTTAGCATAAAAGGGATCTGTTCACTTTCATAAAATCCAGAGCACCGAAATTTACACAATTCCCTTTAAATTGAAAAATATACGAACTTGTTTCATTTAAGTCAAATAGAATTCTGTGCTTCTATCCATGGAAAAAGCCATCCTGAGTCTGTGTAAAGCGCAACTGCAGCTTTAACGTCTTGTTCACCAACTCACCGAGAAAAGTACGTGCTCATAAAACATTTACCTACTCACCAGGTTAAAGACAGTTTCTACAATATCCCTATTGGACACTTCGCCAACTTCCACCAAGCCCGTCAGCACGGCAAACTTCATCCGGATGCCCCTGATGGGGAGCCCTGGCTTCAGGGACAAGGCACCCCGGTCCGCAGGGGGCTCTTCTTTCTCTCCACCTCCCCCATCATCACCTGTTGGTGGTGGGGAAGGGACACGATTGTCTTCACTAGCCATTGCTAGCTCAGGAGAAAGGACAACAGTCGCTCCCCTAGTACTAAGCACGACGCACGCAGTGCCACACGGGCAGGGTCCCTCTTCCAACTTGAGAAACCCACAGGCGGCTGAGGTGGAAGGTCCTCGCGACGCCCTCCTCCTCTAGAAGAGCACAGTATTTGTCCAATCTCTCTCCCCGAGGCTGACAACAACGCCAAACCCTATTGGAAGATTAAATATATGTTAAATAAGCTAGGTTTTGTTTTGGGGGGCTGGGGGATTAGGGGGTAAGGAGGGGCAAGACTTGTCCGTCGAACAAGTTCCGAGCGGCACGGCGCCCCGGCCGCCGCCACCGCGGCCCGGCAGAGGCGCGGGGCAGGCGGGTCCGGCCCGCGCAGGTTCCTCCC